AATTTTTTCCATTTAATTCTTAGAAAGATATATGTCCTAATAACTTAATATTTTTATCTTTCTTATTAATTAACTCTCCATTCGCAGTGTAGTTCCTTTTTTACTCAAGCAAATTTTATGCCCAAATTTCTCTGAAATAAAGAAGGACAGAGTCCAGTTTCTCCTAAAATATCTTGTTAAAAAATTATTTCGTAATATAGATGAAAAGTAATCCTAAATTTTTCCTCATTTTTTGAAAATCTAGATTAGTAAAAAAACTTAGGCTGGACGGAGGGAATATAAAAATATGATTGCACAAGAGAGGATTAATACAAGGTTATTCTAAATATAAATACTCATTTTGATTTTATTAGTACACAACATTTCCTCAAATTCTCTCAATCAATACACATAAATTATCTTCATAAAAGACAATATTTTTATAATATCAGAATAAAGTGGAGTGAATTTAATAATACATACTCGATTCATTCAGGTGCGCGAAGATGCAAGTATCGGACATGCAGTGGGATCAGTTTCGGGAGCGGGTCCTGCGGGTCGCGTGGCTTTCACCTTGGACTCGCTGACGCCAGTCAGCGAGTTTCCAGCTTTCGATGTCGATCGCAGTTCGGGCCAGTTGGTAGTCGCCCACTCGCTCGATCGCGAGAATGTAAGCGAATATCATCTGCAGATTCGTGCATTAGACACAACCTCACTCGGGAATCCTCAAAGCATCGCCGTTTCCGTAAAGATCATTATAGAAGATGCCAACGATAATCCACCGAGTTGGCCGCAGGATCCGATAATTGTTCTCGTGTCCGAAACAACAGCAATTGGCTCAACCATTTATAACCTCACGGCTAGTGATTTGGATAGTGGCCTGAATGGCGAACTTAGATACGGTCTCGTAGCCGAGTTTCCAGCGAAGGGTTGCTTCACCGTGGATTCTTTAACTGGCGCTTTGACGTTGGCCAAGCAATTGGATAGGGAAGAGATAATGCAACACACTTTAATCCTCAAAGCATCGGACCGAGCACTACCAGGAGAGCAACTAGCTTCCACGGTCACCGCAAAAATCATCGTTCTCGATGAGAATGACAACGATCCCGTCTTCGTCGCGCCAGAATTTACCAAGATAAATGTCCCATCGAATCTTCTGCCTGGTAAATTTTACATCTTAGCTGAATGTATTATAAATTTATATACATATATAACAGGATGATTAATGAAATTCTTATTTTCTCTTAATTTTACTAGGTGGTAGTGTGGTAAAAGTCGTCGCTGTAGATAAGGACTCTGGCGACAACGGTCGAATATCTTATGTGATAACCTCGGACAATAAGGAAACGCGGCTCATCATGGGTTACGAGTCGGGCATCGTGACCCTTGTGAAGCCCATCACGGAGCCCATGAACGTCGAGATTACAGCAAATGATCACGGAACACCATTCCGCAAGGCTACGCTGAATCTGAGTCTGAATCCGGTGGCGGCACAAGCGAGTGGACCTCCTCGACTATTGTTGCCTAATCCGATCGTTAAGATTTCCGAAAATCTCCACGTCGGATCGCATGTGATGAACGTTGCAGGACCAGCAATTGCGGATCAAGGTAAGACTAAAGATCTCATCACTATGTCTTTACTGTGTGCCAGTTAAACTAAAATTTGTCACATTGCGACGACTAATATAAAGTTTAATAATATTATCGAATTAGTTCCAATGGATTTCCAATTTATTGTAATATCTCGAGCAAAATGATATAACCGCGTATTTTCGGCATCGTCAGAAGCAAACAGTAGAAACTTATCGAGCTCCGAGGCATAACGAAGATACTTTTAGGCATTGCGTTCTTACTGTTTCGGTGGTGCGTAAAGTCCCTGTCGGTGCAAATTTAACTGGAACTGTCAACTTAATGGCGTGTAGGACGGCCGCAGTTGAAGTTAGAGACAGCGGAAGACAGTTTGCTGTCTCTCGTACTTCTCTTAAGCGTCTCACTCGCATTCTGATCGATTTCACCTTTTTTTCTCTCTTTGAGCGAGTCTTCGGTATAGAATATAGTGTGTGTAATTTGCCGCCCAGCACACACCACCTACACACCGCACGCACACAGTGCCGCGTAATCGTTGCCGCGCTTGCCGCAGCTAATAGGAAAACCCTGCTACGAAAATACCTGGAATATTTAATTGCCTCGAATCTGGTCAGTACCGAGCATTACAGTAAATTTACCGAAATGACTCGCGCGGATTCCGTCGGAGTCGCCGGCAACCTTGTCCAAAGTATCCCGCTGCGGTCGAATCTCAGTTTGTATCTTCTTGCGCGTATGCTTTAAAAAGCAAGTCGTAGTCTGCGCCAGCCGAAAAAATCCCAAGATTTGTTCGTCCCGTAGAATATATCGTCGTTTTCGTCGAGGAACGTGTCCTCGGATTCTTTTCCTTTGGAAAACGCGATAACGAGCACTCGAGTTTTCAAACGAGCTCGTTCGCGTTATTTATGACAAAACTTGTCGCATCTTTTGTGGGATTAGCGTCCCTGACGATGCCGCTAATTATCATCGCAAAAGTCTTGCGAGTGTGTGACTAGACGACTCCACGTCATATATTAACCGTGAGATGTCCGATGTTCAGGAGGTAAAGACGCACTTCTTGAAGGCGTTATTTCCGGAAATCGTTTATCCGATATATAATTGTGCCTCGTGTATTCATATTAGTTTATTTTTTTTATTATGCGAGAAAACCGGTAGTAAGCAAAATGCCAATTATGACACAAGAATTTGATAAACGCTACGTTTAATGACCGTGTATCTTTACACCTGCAATAGAATTCTGTAACTCTTATGATCGCAGCACACAAAAAACTTAAGCAGTAAAATGTAAGCAGTAAGGAAATCGACATTGGATTTACTACTGTTATGGTTTTACGATCTCTATACTATAATTGACCAATTCGCTTACTGCTTACGTTTGATTGCTTAAGTTTTTTCTGTGCCATGGCCCTTAACGATAATATTCAAATCGTTATGCTATCGTTATGCAGATATGATATATTGTAAAGAAACTGTGACAGTAACGATACCGACAATATCATTAAAAGTTACAGAAACCAGTGCTGGACTTATATATGCATATCTTCATATCTGCAATGATCACTACATGGAAAAGACAATAAATTTGACTGAAATATCTAAAAATTTATCTAAATACAGACCTGAAAATAATTGTAAATTAATTGATGGTAATTATTTTGATGATCCATCAAAAATAATTACGTAAGAATCTCGAGCAGGATGAGCAACGCTGCCACAAGTTTTGTCATTCAGTTTGAATGTCCTATATAATTATTTTGATCTAACAAAATTATTTTCAAATCTGTATTTATATAGTTAAATTTTTAAATACCCCCCAGCAAAATCGTTCTTCCGTGTATTTCGCGCATCATATCTTCGCGCTAAATCCACATAGGACTTGCGTCTAACACGGGAAGTCACCCGATCCAGCCCATTTCAGTTTGACGAACGGTTAAAGTGCGATAAACCAGCTCCGCCGACAGCACGGTATCTCTGGTTCGCCGCTTATCTATCACGACTGCCGGACGAGCGCATTAGCGCGTCCCAAGGGTGTGTCGAAGGTGCCGGTCCTTCAGGGATCGGCGGCTCAGTAATGCATAGAGGGGAGGTTGTTGCGAAATGCGGGAGCGAGTGCAGAACGCAGAAGGGCAAGAGGGATTAGAGAGAGGACGAGGCGAAACAATGGCCGCGTATATCATCGTGCCGCCGGCCTGCCGCATAGGCAAATCACCGGACTCCATACCAACGCGCGGTTTCGCGTGTGCACGCACACACGCATACGACATATCGCTACTTACTGGAAACAAGACGAGGGATGGCCACGATGCGACACGCGCATACGTATACATACACTAAATCGCGTCGCTTTGTTCTAAGTCCGCTAAAAATCCGACGAGCATGGGCTAAGCGCGCTGGAATTCGAGAAACGAAAGCATTAAAGTCACCGACGGCTTGCTCGAATAGGAAAATCGCACGTCGCAAAGCTGCTCCCGATTTGCGGATAAGATGATGGTTTCTTTCTTCGTTTTGGAGTAAATAAATTACACGATAAGTAATATAATATATATCCTTTGAATATTGGGAGAATATTTTTTTTCAGAGTTTAACAGTGGATACAAAACGCCAAGATATTCATGTGTAAAACATATAAGTTAAGATAATTATATAAAATTGATTTATAAATAAATTGCGGCCGCTGCTGTAAAACTACTGCTTCTTTAATATCTGCAGTAATATTAGACGAAACGTAAATAAAATCTAAATAAAAATGCGTGCAATAGTGATTTATTTATAAAAGAAATAGGAATTAACAAAATAAATAGCACACAGGGCGAAAGAAGAAAATGAGAAGACCAAATGTTGGAAGATAACGAATTAAATGTTTATAGAAATATTTCTTAGTTCCAATAATTCTGTGAAATATATAACTGATGCACACATTTTTTAATTAATAAAACACATTGATTAACTTCTTATTTTGTTTCGCGTAGATAACGTTACCTTCAGCATCCCGAATGGCGTAGCTTCGAACAAGTTCGCCATATCGTCCAATGGTCAAGTCACTCTTCGGGGTCCCCTGGATCGCGAGAAAGTCTCGCATTACTCAGTTTCTATCTTGGCGAGGTCCAACAAACTTCTGGACGTCACAACTCTGGAAGTTATAGTGATGGACGAGAATGATAATAGTCCGGAATTTCGACCGGGTTCTTGCTACACCCTCGCCGTGCCGGAAAATCAGGAAACTTCCGTGATCCACGTGATAGCTGCTACCGATCTTGATGATGGGAAGAACGGCGAAATCTTCTACAGTATCGAAAGTAAGTTGTCTCACTAGATGCAGTATATGCGAAAAATCGCGTAAATAAAATTTAAGACTTAAGTAATGTTTTAAGGGCTAATATCACCTTGTAACCTGCAAAACTGAGCCTTATTTCAAAGGCTTACTGTGAACTCAAAAAAATTTTTTTTAATATGGGGTTTTGCACTAATGAAAGTACTAGTCTTTAGGTATAAAAAACATATTTTATTGAATTTTTTAAATATAAAATGCCGGCGTGGAAGCACACTGAAAAAAAGCCGTTTTTTTTTATACATCCGCATTGGCGTACATGTACAGGTCACAATTTTTGATCTAGAACAAAAAACCAAAGATTTTCTTAAAATATAAGGTAAAATGAAGTGAGCATCGTAGGATTTTTTTAAAAAATGAATTTTAAAAAAAATGGCATCGTTTTGATTGAAAAACCCGTTTTTTTTCGAAAAAATCGATCGAAAATCGGCTATAAAATCGGTTCAACAACAAATATCGAAAAAATCCTACGATGCTCACTAGAAAATCATGTTTTTAAGATACAGTAAAAATTTCAAAGCAATCGGTTGAAAATTGTAGGCTCTATGTGTACGCCAAGTTCAAAAAACATGGTTTCGAGATAAACGCGTTTAAAGTTTCAAGTAGTATGATTTTAGTGAAATTTTTGTTTTACCTTCAATCTGCAATGCCTGCTCCATACAATTGGCCTTCCAAATGAAGATTCTCTTGGTCCTCATCTTTTCTGGATGAAGTTGCATCTTTACGGGCAGCTTTAGCCTCTTCAGTGAGGGAGCGCTCGGAAAGCGAGATACGGACAGCATCGGCTTCCGAGCAGAAATTGTAGCATTTTTCTCCAATTGTGATGCCCAATTGCTCCATAACTTTGAAAACTCCATTGTAGCCATCATTGAAATATAAAACAGCAAGAAATACAGCTGTATCGAGGACGATTTTGCCACTAGAAATGTTCTTAGGGGCCATGGACCACACGAGCGCATTAAAGCTTTCGTTGGAGTTCTGTGTATATCCACCTAAGCAACGAGTGAGAAGTTCATCTCTACTCAATTCTTCGTATATTGGCTTCACAGCTTCAAATACCTCAATTGGCATAGGCGTTTTATGTTTATAATTTTGTAGATCTCCGGCCGTCGCTTTTGTTGATTGCTTTAAGATACTAATACGGTCCTCTAATTAGTTCATAATATCTCAAGACTGTACATAATAATTAGTTCATAATATCTTAAGACTGTTCATAATAACTTAAGACAGTCTTAAATATAAAAATCGATTATGATTGATTTTAATCTTCGTGCTTTTCATTCCAGGCGGCAACATCGGCGCCAAATTCGTATTAAATCCGTCTACCGGTGCATTGTCGATGTTGAATCTGGATCGTGAGAACGTGCCCAAGTACGTGCTAACGATTTCGGCCAAGGACAAGGGAAGACCTAGCAGAGAAGCGTACTGCAACCTCACCGTGATCGTGCTGGACATCAACGACAACGCTCCGACTTTCGTGCAGAATCTGAACAGCGGTTTCCTGTACGGATCATCGGACTATCCAGCGAATTACTATCCTTCAAAGTATATGACAACTATCTCAGAGGACGTCCCGCCGGATTCGAGCGTGATGTCCGTAAAGGCGATTGATCCAGATCAAGGTGTAAACGGGAAGATCACATACGCCATAGCCGACGAGACTAGCTGGCTCTTCAGGGTCGACAACCTGACTGGCGTTGTTACTACAGCTGGGTGAGTGCACACGTCCCGTCGTTCGCTTTTTTTTTTTTACGTACGGCTTCCCTTCTTTCTTTTACCCTCTGTCATTGTCGTCGTTTCCTTCCCTTCTGACCTTTTTCTGTTTCCTTCTTTCTTTCTCTAAGGTCTTTTGTTCAGCCTCTCCCTCTTTCTTTCTCTTTTCTTTTAGATCGCATGCGAGTTTCGCTTTGCGATCTCGGCTACCAACCGACTAATTTCATCCTGGCGTTAATTACCGCGACCTTTATTACACATCCGATTAGGATCACCCAGAGGGATATTACGCCGGTAGTATAACGTCGTAAAACGGGAAGTGAAGACGCGCGCGCACACACACGCATTCGTATACGTTAGAAAGAGCAGCCAGTCAGTTCGCAGTGAAAAAAGCTCGACGCTCGAAGGCAGTGGGGGAGGAAGGAGCGGTGCAGTCTAGGAAAGTCGTAAAATTATAAAGTCAGTCGATGCGCTTCACGAACGACGCACTATAGCCGATTAAATGATTCCGTATGCATAACTCGTCGGCACAACTCGAGATACTACTCTTCCTTTCTTTTTCTCCTGTCTCTTTCTTCTATCTATCTATCTCTTACCCGGTCCTTCGTTCATCTCTCTCGGTCCGTGTGTGTCTCTTATGATTATGCACGCAATAAACCGATATCTTGGGATGTCGTTAAGACGAAGACTTTCCGTGGCTTCCGTCCATCCCACCAAACAGCAAAGTCGTAGTTCCTTAATTAATGGACGATTTCGCTGCGGGCTACCGCGAACCTTGGTCCAATGGAGCACGCTGACCGATGATCATTAATTGCTCGATTACAGTCTCGGCGTACGAACGGTGGAAAACTCTCAAACGTTAATTGCACGCGAACTTCGCGGAATCGAATTCAATACCGAGACTTTATATACAAAACATTAACTTTTATAGGTGGACAGTTATACGGTCACGTAAGAGTTTCACGGTGATTAGAGTCGCCTGCCCCCTCGTGTCGTCGTGTCCGGCGACCTGTCTCTGAAGATGACACGACCGAGTGATTTCGATAAATCACTTCCACGCCGGGAATGTATAATTTGCTTGTTGCAAATTATTATGCGGAGTCGCCGTAAACCCGCATGACCGACACGCCCAACGTCCGTCTCGGTGACTCACGATTCGTGCTTTAATCCCCGTGGCAATTAGTCGATCCCCCTTTTCTACCCCTTCTCACCTCGGTGCCAATCTTAGTTTACGATTTTGCTTAACTGTATCTGTTTACGCGGCTTTTCCGCCTTTTACCGTTTTTGCTTCCGATTATCGATGAGACGAGTGGGTGCTTTGCAGGATATGCGAATACAGGGAGGGCTGCAAAATGTTGGAGAACAGGCGCCAGTTGACAGTGTAGAAACAAAGAGAGAGAGAGAGAGTAGTCGGTAGCCATGGAAAGGACTAAGGAACCCAGGGGGGCGCATACTTTTGCGTCGCGACAGCCGTGTGTCATTTCAGCGAGACGCCATCTGGCATTTCAATGCATTATTTCAGCCGGCAAAATGCCTCCTGATATGCAAAACCAGATCTCGGTTCGAGCTACTCTTTCGCCGCATCTCTCCCACTTTCGTTGTCTCTCTCATTCTCTCTTCACCCTTTCCCGCTGCGGCCACTGTCCGGTCGTCTCGTTTCACCGTCTCCTCCGCCTCTTCTTTCTCCTCCCGCTTCTGTTTTTGGTATCCTCTTCCCTCGATCAGTAGCCGTGGACCCGACTTTCGTGTCGCCTTATTGCCGTTGCTCTTGCGACGACGGTCTCGTTCCTCTTACCTTTTGAAAGCCGCACTGTCGTTCTGCAGCACCTCTCGGTACGGAACACTTCTCTCTTCTTTTGCTTTCTCTGGAGACCACCCGGTAGAGACAATATACGGGTCAAACGAGGATCGGTTCTCATTTAGAACAATTTGATAAATAGTGCGAACTGATAGAAAGAATACTGAGACGATATTATATGGAAAAGACGGTTTTTGTGTTAAAATATCTAAAAATTTAGATATAAATTAAGACTAAATAAGAAGCGTCAACTGCGGTCAAAATTAGATGTTAGAATAATAATTCTATATGTAATTAATTTTAAATACATTTATTCCTGATTGCTCGTTGATTATTTCCGAATTTACAACACAATCACTAAAATAATATTAATCTCATAAGTAAATTAAATTTGATCGTTGATTTGAACAACCATTGATCTAATTTTTTAGCTAGATACAGATCTGAGAATAATTTTGTTAGACCATCAAAATAATTGCGTAAGATGCTTTAACTGATTTCTAGAATGTCAACATTTTTTGTTGTGTACGACAGATAAGGAATTCCTCTAATGGAAGAATCGTGCACTTTAAGAATAACTTTTTAGATACTTCAGCAAAATCATCTTTTTTGGAAATAATATGTCAACAAATTTCTTGTAATCGAAGTGCGAAACTTTTATTAAATCAACCGTCACATCTATCCACGTCTTTCATATAAATCTACTTGTGTTTAATTTATTTATTAATTGAGCGATAACATCAATCGTGAAATAAAAAAATACTTGCATTCCATGAATCATTCTCAAATGAAATATTTCTTGCAACTGTCATTCTGTTCAAATGCGATAGAGATTCGTACTGCATATTTCGAATTGCAATCAGCAGATACAGCAGATACTAGGGCGGAAGATAACTGTGGAGTATTCGAGTTAGCTTCGCGCAATCGTAAATAAGCGTATCGAACTCGTGCACTACCGACGTCTGATCATTATCCCACGCTTATTAAGAATTATTGTGAGCGTTACGTTGTATCGCGAAGGCACGCTGGGAACTTCTCCTGCTTGCTCGACTTGCATTTGCGTAACTTCCTAATAGCATTGTTTTAAGAAAATTAATTTAAGGTACAATACTGTGAGACTAAATCAGAATTCGTTCTAACTTTTCTTGTGATCTCGTAATAATTTTTTATTAACATAGAAACAAAATATTTATTTATTTTATTGAAAATAACACAATCATAATTTTTATTAACAAGTAAAACTATTAATTTAATGTATTTTATTAATATTAAATTAGATTCTAAAGGAAATAAATTGCAATGTCTCTTTTTATTAAATTAATATCTTTATTCTTTATTTCTCAATTTTGTGATTGCGATAAACCTATTATTCTATAACTAATGTCTGTTTCTTCCTGTTCGATACAGCCCATTGGACCGTGAACGTCAAAGCAACTACACCTTCCTCGTGGTTGCCACGGACAGCGGCATGTATGATGCGAAAAGCACATCGATACCCATTGAGATCATCATCAGCGATATAAATGATAACGCGCCAATTTTCGAGGAGTACCCTTTTCGGACACGCGTGCCCATCAGTACGAAGCCGGGTCAGAACATTCTTCGGGTATCAGCCAAAGACGCTGATGACAGTGTAAACGGTGATATCGTGTACTCATTGATAAACGAGCAGGAGAAACCGAAATTTCGAATACATCCTAGCACCGGCGAAGTAACGGCAAGCTTATCATTGTCGCAAGATAATGGCAAGACGTATTACTTGGAGGTGTTGGCCCAGGACAAGGGTAATCCGCCGAAGAGCGCTAAAGGTTTGATCGAGCTTCAAGTCGGCCATCTCGTGGACTTGACGCCCAGCTTGAAATTTCAGAATGACACATACAACGTCGTCATTCAGGAAAATTCAGCGGCTGGCACGGAGATAGTTAAAATCACCGCGGTACGTACCGATGGCAGGAAACAACGCGTCACGTATTCGATCGCGTCCGGAAACAACTACAACACCTTTGCGATCGACGAAGACACTGGTCTGTTGCGCGTCAATGATCCTACCAGGCTGGACGCGGAGCTTTGGAATGACATGACAGTAAAATCTGATAACGATCTGCCGGGCGACACGGGGCGCACGAATTCGTGGGGCAGATCTTTGGAGGGGCAGCAGCCGAAGGAGATACCTAGAGAAAGCTCAAGGCACATTCTCAATGTGATAGCGAGAAGCCAGGAGGTTTTAGAAGCATACGTCAAAGTAATCATCAGGATATCCGACATCAACGATAATCCACCAATCTTCACGCAAACACAATACTCGGCTACTGTACTCGAAGGCAATATTAAAGGAGATTTCGTCGTGAAGGTGAGAAAACTTTTTACGATCTAACATCGCCTTAATATTATATTACACTCTAATATTATATTATTAAAATATAATATTTATATTTGATACGTTATATGATACTTCTTTACATAACGAACCTAATTAAAGTACGAATCATATGTAACAAAAATATATAAGGAGAGAAATTATTTTTATAATAGGATTTAAGAAAGAGTAGAAATATAATTAAATTAGGATCCAAAGGTACAAATGTATTTATTTGTACTTTTTGT